AGACACAGAAGATATGACAGAAATAAAAAGCAAATGTTCATTTAACCAACTCATACTTCAAGTATGAAGCCGTCACAGGACTGAGAGGTCAAAACTATAAATATGTAAGRGGAAAAAAATAGGAAATTAGTCAGATGGATCATAGTTTATGCTATTAAAAATCCTTGTTTATTAGGATAGCAAGAATATATATTCTGTGTTTTCCGGAAGAGTGAAGGTAATTAAGGCCAAAAATAATCTGCTCAGTAAATTTCACGCTTCCAAACGGTAGTCCTAATTAGAATCAAAGTCCTTTATTTCTTATTTGGTACTGTTTGCTTCATTTTAAATGATGATCTGTCCCATCCTAAAGAGGATATACTCCTCTGACAARAAACATATTGCCCCTATTTATCATCTAAAACTTCAGGGATAGTTACTGTGTGATTGCTGGACACTGAGAGCTGGTGGGGATTTCTGGGCTCCCAGGATGGAAAACATCCTAGACACATTCCTGGAATATGTAAAATTTGGATTCAACTTGTTCTTTCTTATGCCTGGATGTCTATAGAAATTTCAGGACAACAGAAAATTCATCCTCCCCAATGCTTTTAACCTTCAAGGAGGTAGTTAAGAGCATTCCTCTGCTTTGCCACTGGGTTATCCATCAAAAACTTCTGCTTCTGTGTGGATCTGTGTCATGGAGTGGTTCAGATGACAGAGACCTGTGTCCTTCACATGCCTGTTAGCATCTGTGATGGAAAGCAAAGAATTACCTCATTATCCTGAATTTTCACAACTGAGCGTGTGGAAGTGCTGACAACTTCTCCTAAAATTCCTTCCAGTGCCAAGGAAAGCCAATGGCCACCTCTCCATCCCAGGGGCCGTTACCGTGGAAACAAAAGAGCAGGTTTGTGTAGCACAGTGATGGTGCAGAACCCTTCAGGTGTTCCTCACCTGGACAGCAAACCTGGGGCTGAACCATCATCTTCTTCATCATCTTCTTCATCATCTTCTTCATCATCTTCTTCATCATCTTCTTCATCATCTTCTTTGTCATCTTCTTCATCATCTTCTTCATCGTCTTCTTTGTCATCTTCTTTGTCATCTTCTTCATTATCTTCTTCATCATCTTCTTCTTCATTTTCTTTGTCATCTTCTTTGTCATCTTCTTTGTCATCTTCTTCATCATCTTCTTTGTCATCTTTGTCATTTTCTTCTTCTCCCAAGCACAGGGACAGGAGATCCCAGAGCAATCCCAGCAATGGTTTGGGGTTATCAAAACTGCTCTGGGTGCACAGCATTCCCCTGGCACTCTGTGTGCCCACTGGTGTGGGATGGAAGCAAGATCCCATTTGCCTCACACTCTTCAGGGCCCCAGAGTAAGGGTCTTAGTGCCCCAAAACAAGGGGCTCAGTGCCCCAGAATAAGGATTTCATGCACACAGAGCTGTAACTGTAAGAATCCAGAAGGGAGAAGGAAAAGATTTGTGCTGTTTGAAGACCTGGGCAGTGAGTCAGAAATTAGATTTTTTGTAAGGCTTGAACTTTGAAAGGTCATACAGGCTCAAAGGCACAGGAGACTGAACTTCCCCATCTCTAGACTCGTCCAAATGACCCAATCCCTGCTGCCAATTTATGGGGAGTTCAGTTGCTCTTAGAAGTGCAAAACACTCAAAAATGGAAGGAATGTCTCTYTTTTCCCCTCTTGGCCTGTGATGGAAAACACTTTATCTGCTGACAGCAGTCAGTCTGTTTGTGTGTACATGTGTGCAAATGTGATGGGCAGAAATGTAAATGTATGCAAAATAGCCACCTCCTCAGTGCCCCATTCAATCTCCAGAGCTGCAGTGATACTGGGTCAGAAGCTGTGTTTGGATGCTTGGCTGGACCAAACATGTGGGATGGCTTATCCTGGTGCTTCATGCCAATGATGATGCCTCAAACAAAGGCCCACCTGAAACAGGGGCCAGATAAAGTGAAGAGAATAAAGCAGACAAATTTAATCCAGGCCTGCTGGTACATTGAGGGCAGACAGAGCCTCCTCCTGAGGCTGCACCCAAAATGGACCCCRAGTCACGAGATCTTCCCCTTTTATCAGTTCTGTCTCATGAACACATCGGGCCCCAATTCTGCAATGACACCTTCAGGTGATGATGTCACCCACCCCAAGTTTGCTCCCCCCAATTCTCTGTTGTTTCCATATTTTGGGGCTCTGAGGCAGTGAAGTGTCCTTGGATTTCAGGCTCAGCGAGGAATTGTTTTGTGTGAAGATGGGAGAAGAGGAGCTTTAGTGCTGTGCAGTGGAGAAATACAAGAATACAGATCCATGAAAATATAGAAAGTAAAAATCCTAAGACATCAGTGCAAATGAGAGAAACTCCCCTGGAACCTGTGATGTTCCACCAGAGCAGGGAGTGTGCCAGGAGGGAGCCAGACCACTTCCAACAGGTGAATTTTGGATCAGATATCTGAAGTTTCTCAGTGTCTGATGGTTTTGTGTCCAGGGATTTGGTTCAAATGCCACCCCTCATACTGACCAAAATGCATCTGAAAACATCTCCTGTGTATTTTGGTGYGCTGCACACTCTGCAAGTATTTAGTCTGTCAAGAGACATGTGAGACATTGTGCTGTCTCCATCTTACACCTCTGAGTAAACCACACTGATACCCAAAATTTCCTTTCCACAGAGTCATACTGGGATGCCGACAGCTTTTCGTCCACTTTTCATAGAATCCCAGAATTATTTAGGTTGTAAAAGACCCCCGAGACCACCAAGTCCAGCCTGTTGCCAATCCCCACCTTGTCACCAGCCCAGAGCACTKTCCAGTCCTTCCCTGGACACCTCCAGGGGTGGGGAATCCACCATTGCCCTGGGCAGTCCCTGCCAAAGCTTGACCACCCTTTCCATGGAGAAATTCCTCCTGTCCAACCTGAAGCTCCCCTGGCACAGCTTGAGGCCATTTCCCTTGGTCCTGACCCTGTTCCCTGGAGCAGAGCCCGACCTGCCCTGGCTGCCCCCTCCTGTCAGGGAGCTGTGGAGAACCAGAAGGTCCCCTCTGAGCCTCTTTTTCTCCAGGCTGAACCCTCTGCTGCTGCTCTGGACCCTTCCCCAGTTCAGTGTCCTTCTCGGGACAAGCTTCTGCCCCTCAGCATCTTGGGGTGAGGGGCCAGAACTGGACACAGAACTTGAGGTGTGGCCTCAGCAGTGCCCAGCACAGGGGTATGGCCACTGCCCTGCTCCTGCTGGCCACACTGTTCCTGATGCTGAGCAGGTGCCATCGGCCTCCTTGGCCACCTGGGCACACAGCATCCACTTCTCATCTACTTTTCTCCATTTTTCATCATTTTCATCATTTCTATTGTGCCCAAGCTAGGAATCCCAGGATGGGCAGGGAGGTGGATGCTGTGCTGTTCACTGCCCAGCCCTGCTGGTCATTTGAGATCCTCAGGGCCATCCCTGCTCCATCCTCCCTGGAGTGGTCCATCTGCCACCCCTGACCCACAGCTCTGCTGTGCCACAACAGGGGATGATGATGAGGCTCCACCACACTCCTCACCAGTCAGTTCATGTTTCCACGTGTGCCCACAGTCAATGCTGATCCCTAAAGTCTCTTCAGCAGGGGCTCCCTGAGGTGCTGAAGGCCACCAGGGCAGGTGATGGCAGAGCCCAGCACTCACCCTGCTCTGGGTTGGGACACAAACTGCTCCAGCCCCATCTCCTCCCCAGCCAGAGGCACATGCTCYTCATTAATGGCCACATTGCATGACTCGGGCTTTGCAGAGGAAAATAAAAACAGTGAGCTCATCACAGGAGGAAAAACACGAGTGAGAGGAATTGCTGTAAATATTTGTATCTTCRGGGCCTTTAATGTGATTGCAATTTTCCCTTTCTGCATTCAAACAGCCAAGCCGTTGCTCTTTGGGGCTGTGTGTTTTTTCTCGCAGGGTGATTTTGGGGCCCACAGTGTGTCCCCCATGCCTGTACCCCTGAGCAGAGCTCAGGACACACAGTGTCACCTGCACAGGACAGTCCCTGACTCGTGCACAGGACTGGAAGCCCTAAACAAAGCCCTCCCTGGGGCAGTGGCACTGACCTGGCTGGGCTGGGGCTGTGCAGGGCTCTGCATTTCGTGTGAGAGAGAGGGCTGGCTGTGCCTGCTTCMCTGCCTTCCCCTGGAAAACTCTCTGTTGCTCTTGGATGCAGGGCTCTGCTCACAGCCAGCTGCCTGCCGAGCCCTGGATGCAAACTTTCTGCATGAAATAATGGTCTCACACCCACATAAACTGAAAGCGTTGCTATGGAGAGTATCCTGGACCAGGCTACAACCTCACCCTGCCTGCTTTGTTAGAAACCTCAGTGAGCCATATATATATATATATATTCTTTTTTTTTAAGTTTATGACAGTGAACTTATTAACCTGGTAATTGTGAAAAMGTGAATGTGAAGAGCATGAGGTGGCACAACCTTCTGGTATGAAAAAGAAGGAATGGTCTGGGAGACAGTCTGGGGGTTGTCACTGCTTTGCAATGTCCCCAGGGCATTTTGCTTCATGTTGAATTTGCTTTCCAGCCTTTGTTCAGACTGTAAAGGATTAGGGCAGGATTTCTACATGTGTGCAGAGGGCAGGGGAAGGAGATGCTGATTTTAGTGTGGTTGTCTGGGTGAAACATCAGTTGTGTGTTGTGCAGAGCCAGCACTGACGGTGGCAGCTGCTGGGATTAGGAGAATCGAGGATGTAAACCTTCAAATGTTCTGTTGCCTCACACAGGGGTCTCCTGATGAGCACTGTGAGTCTGGAGCTATAATTAGGAACATCTCCATGGTAGGGTTTTGGGACACCCCAAAATTGTCCCCTTAGTGACAGTGGCACTCTGTGCTCACCCCTGTTGTACCAAGTTCAGAGGGGTTCCAGTAGCACATCCTGCTCTTTCCTCCTTTGGATTTTTTGGTGACATTGCAATTGTGCTAAAGAACACAGCATGAATTTACTRTTGTCTTTCTCTTTAATCCTTCCAGATCATCAAAGAGCCTCCTCCACCCCCTGCAGAAGACAGCGAGGTGAGTGACACTGATCCCCTCAGTGTTCAGAAGGGTTTGCTCAGTCTCCTCACAAAAGGTGAYTCAATCTGTGTGTTTGGTCTTTCCTACCCACTGAGCAGGTAGGGAAGGAGGACAGAGCAGACAATCCTCACTTGGTCAGAGCAGCAGTGCAGAGCTAAGCTGTGATTCACACAAGGGACAGCCTTTAAGCTTGTGTTTAACTCTGAAGTTAGTGGAGCCTAAACATGTGCTTAAGTGCCTTCCTGGAATGGCACAGTAATGATTTTGGTGGTTTGGGGTATGTAACCACTCCTGGCAGCAGCTCCAGTGCTGAGCCCTCAGAGCACAGTTGCTGTGAGAAAAGGAAGCCCACAGTCCAGTCTGAGGCAGGAGCTGATGTCAAACCCCACGAAATCCTCTCAACATCAGCACAGCTGCACAAGACAGGGCTGTTTAAATGGAGAAAAATCAACAAAAGGTGAATCAACGTTAAAACCTCTGTCTTCTCTCTGCTCACAAGCTTCAGATCAATCTTGCAGCAAATGRTTAAAGCTCTGCCCCTATTCCTTGCTTTGGCTTTGCCCAGAAGATGCCCAGAACATGCCCACTTCTCCATCTGCCTCCTCCTGTGTGCTCCTGCTTCCAGCACACAGAATCTCTGCTTTGCTCCCACTGCTTTCCACTAAAAGGGATTTCACTGCAGTCCCTGGGCTCTGTGCAGGGTACTCTGATGGCAGTGGGAGTTTTTCCATTGACTTCACTGGGGTTTGGATCAGTTCCTCTTAAATATGCAAGTAAAATTAGGCTTAGATCTGTGCTCAGAGTGATTTGGGTGGGTAGTTTGCCTTGCTTTCTTCTTCAGGAGACAAATTCATTTTCTGCTTCAGCTTGCAAGTATAAAACCCTGTGAAATGGTGCTCTGCTCTTTGTGAGTCTGGCCCAGGGAGTGTGAGCTGAGTCAAGGCTCAGGAAAGCTCAGGCCTATGGAAGGAGCTGAGATCTGGCTTCATTCTCCTTGCACAACCCTGGAATCTGCCCCTTGGGGCCCTCGTCCCCCTGAAGCCACCTCCAAATCACACTGTCCCCAGACCCAGGAAGGGTTTGCATTTGGACCCAGTGCTCCTGTGCCTGTCTCTGCAGGCATCTGGCCCATTCCCCTGAGCAGACATTTGTTTGGGCTCTATGAAAATCCACCAGCTTTGTCAGCTTCTGTCCTCTGAATGAAAAGAAAAATATTAGCCTCAAATTGCACATGCTTTGTTCTGCATCACATTGCTTCCAAGCCAAGGGATTTAATTGATGAAATTAGATAAAATACATCATTCTGAAATGCTGGCTCCCTGGCCAAGAACTGGAGGGGGAAATTATATCCCCTAAGAGGGGAAA